GTTCTTGCCTTTGGTTGGAGTCCAGGCCTTCACGCCGGGATCGACCAGCTGAAACAGAGCACACACACGTCACACACACACGGACACTTCACAGCAGCTGGAACTCATGGTTCTCATGACTTATGGACCTACCTTCACCAGCTCCTTGAACACAGCGTGTTGGATCATCCTCCTCTTGTTCAGGCCTGAGGCCATCTCCTCCAGGTCTATGGCGGACCTGCAGGGGGAAGACAGAGGATCTGCTAACAGCCGGGTTCTGCCCAGGAGAACGAGACCAGAACCCAGCTGCACCATGCTTACTTGACGTTTTCCCTCAGCTGTTTGACCAGTTTGATGTTAACGTCTGCCTCCAGGAGAGCAGCACACACCTCCTTCAACATGGCGTTCAACACCTGGGAGGATAAAAACAAACAAACTCCTGAAGAACCACTCTCCCATTTCTCCTTTAGGAACCAAATCCAACTGTTTTTCTCCTTCTTTGTGGACAAACTGAAATTTTAATTTATCACAAAAGATTTATATTCAATTTAAACTGTGATCCTGAAAGTTACCTTTAAAGAAAACCTAGATAAACACAATCTAAACATCTCATTTAGTCCACCATTTCTTTTTTGCCCTCCTCCAACTGTAAAAGTGCACCATAGCACTGAAGGAGCATTTCTGGAATAATTCTTCATTATTCATGACATTCTTTCACCTTGTTTTTAAGAGAGAGCAGTTGGTATTACACAGATCTGCAGTAAACCTGGATTTCACTAATATTTCAGTACAAATACAATAAATTTAAAAAGTCAACATTGGATAAAAAGTAAGCAAGGGAAAAAAAAATCAACTAAAATAGAAAATCTATGACGGCGTATTAGGACCATTGTAGAGATTAATCTCAAATTTTCAGGGGTTTTTTCTTGCAAATTTTCAACTTGGAGCTCAGAAAATTTCTAGAAAATTTCTGAGATCTCAAAAACTTCTGACATTTTGGCAGAAATTTACTCCTTTTTTTTCCTATCTACAACAGCTCTAAAAACAGATTTGCTATGAAAGAAATCTGAGATTTTATTTCCAAGCCAGCTCAACATGAACCTCAGTAGAGAACAGAGCTCCCTTTCTAGAAGCCTCTTCTACTTCAGGTCAAACTAAATAAAACTTGTAAGGTTTCTTCAGTAGCAGTTTCCAGAACAAAGAGTAGCGCTCGGCGCCACACTGTGTGTCCTACCTCTTCATTGATGATGGTGGCGTTGCTGAGTGACCTCAGCGCCGAGGTGATCTTCCTTCCCAGGTCGGCCAGCACCATGATGGCACTCTGAAGTAAACCTGGAAGAGCCCAGAGGAACACACAGACATCTCGCTGCTAACCCTACCAGCCTGTGGCCTCACTGATCACAGAACAGACTTTACTCTATGTTATGATTTTTTTTTATTACGGCATCATTGCATCAAACAGAAATTCTGCAGCTGATGCAACCTAAGTATGTGTGAGGTCAAAGTGTGCCACTTACTGTCTGTGTGAGTGTGTGTTGTGGAGGGGGGACTTCCAGGTAAGAACCCTCAGTGAGTCAGAGACTGCTGCTTCCCACAGCCACAGCTTCTACACAGAGAAGAGAAAAACTGTGAATTAATCTCCTCCTGGACAGAGTGTGAAAACTTGAGCTGAAACTATGATGTAATCAGATTAATGTAAATACACACCTTTTATTTATCATTTTTGGTTGTTGTGTTTAACTTTGGGTAATTAAAACATCTCCCAGCTCTTTAAAAAAAATTAAAGCTTATTGGTCTTTAAGAGAGCAACATTGAACTATTATTATACAATTATCTATATATTATTTGAAAATAGTGTTCAAACAACAATAATATCGTTTATCGCAATCATTTCTGGGATAATTTATCGTCCAGCAAAATGCGTTATGGTGACAGATATAATTACGAGCACAAATTTACAAAGTGGAAGGAAAGTCCCAAGACAAATGACTCAAAAGCTGAACCCACTCAGAGGCTAAATATAGCTCCTACTCAAGTCATTTTTAAAAAGTCTTGGAAATTCCACATTTTTTTCTTAGAATTTTACTTTGGTAAGATAAAGATTATTTGAATTACTGTCAGCTGAGTGTACACATTAACATCAAATAGATGGAGCAGTAAAAGGACCAGCATGGCTAGATGGCGTAACAAATCACAATAATGAAATCAATAAGGTGAATAAATAAGGTATGAATAAACATGTTGATGCCATGTGGTGATTAATTCAGTATTGCACAGTTTCATCATCATGAAATTCTTAATCCAATCTAAGGTGTATGATTAGTTCAACAGATTACTGGGACTGTATTTGTTTTTTTATGACTCATTTTGTTTCAGGAAGGAACCAATCACAGTCCGGCAGCGACTCTCTTAGCATGGGGGTCAACCACACCGCCTCACTAAGAAAGTAACACATCTATCTGAAATAAAGCAATCAGTCGCCCAGACTCAAGTTTGCCATAGCAAACGTGCAACAAGGTGAAGAGAGAATTAAATGTTTGGCCTGCATGCAAAACTCTGTACAGTGGGAAACTAACACTGCACATCACCCTACACACACCATCATAATGGTGAAAAACGGTAAAGGCGGCATCATGCTGTGGCCAGTATTAACGCTTGAATATGGACAAAGTATATATCCAGGAGAATCCTGGAGGAAAACCTGTTAGAACCTGCAGAAGACCGAGGTGGAAGTTTTACCTTCCATCAGGAGAACCACTCTGAACATGGAGCCAGAGATACAGTGAGCAGCATGTTCATGTGCTAGAATGGCCTAGTCAAAGACCAGACCTAAACCCAATTGAAAAAAAAAAATCTGTGGCACGACATAAAAAATAATGTAGATGCTCTCTGTCTGATCTTAAAGAGCTTTACTCAAGAAAATGTTGACAACTATTTCAGAGTTTTTCTTCCATTTCGTAATTTTTCTTTAGCTAGTTTATAACATGAGGTCCCAGTGAGATACATGTATTGCATACTAACGCAGGGCTCTACTATGGCTGGTCAAGACATCTGTGATTTTCCTAATGTCGAAAAACATCACTTGTCATTTAGTTTGACTCCAATTCTTATATATTTAAGCTCTTAACATATTGAAGGTATTTTAATTTCTTCTGGAGTATTTCAAGGGTGTAAATAATCGAAAACCTGACGACACTTCTGTGTTTTTAATCCTCAGCTGTGTTGGGTGAACAGCCAACAACCGCTAAAGCCTTTCGGTTTAATCTACTTCGCCGTAGAAACTGAGAGACCGACGAGGAAACAAAGCTAAAATCCCAAAATAAAACTAATCAAACAGAGCACTAAGTCAGTCTCTGGTGGACGCCAACAACGAGGCCTCAGATTGATGGTGTGTGTTGTTTTTTTCCTCAGCTTATCAGCCTCCGGCTCTCAACATCACAGCTGTTTACAGCAGTGCTAACGACCTAGCAGCTAGCTAGCTGGACAGCCGACAGTCCACTGTCTTTATCTGGAAACTGTCTCCAGCTCCAATTAGCTCATTATTATCTAAAATGGCGGAAACTGGACCACAAAATAAATGAGAAGAAATGTGTCAGTGGTTGTTCAGGCTTACCGAGCGCTGGACACTACAATGTAAACGCAGCTGTTTCCAAACTCCACCAGAGAAGCGTCATCTAAACTGAACTAAACCGGAAGCCCTGCGTCATCATGAGTTGTTTATATTCAGTTTATGGGTGTAGTACCGCCGCTTACTGGGCTGGCGCATGGACGCGCATGTCGAAATGGCCACCTGAACTGGATTTTAAGGTATTTTGGTTGAAAAACTTTCCCCGAGTGTCGTGAAACCATCCATACGCTACCCTTTTTTTTTTTTTTTGAACAAATGTACAGAATCACTTTAGGGCACACATCAAATTATAAGATGACAATAAAAAATAAAGTAAAATAAAAATAAAATGTCAGACATCAGAGGGAAAAGAAAAATCAAATCAAATTTTATTTGTATAGCACATTTCAGCAGGAATGTGCTTTACATCATAAACACAAAACCACAGTCATGCAACATAGACTCAACAATCAAAACATTACATTAAGTGCCATCACTAAATTCGTAATTGATTACGTTTCAAATACAACTCTAAACAGGTGGGTTTTTAGTCTAGATTTAAAGGACAAAAGTGTTTCAGCTGTTTTGCAGTTTTCTGAAAGTTTGTTCCAAATTTGTGGTGCATAGAAGCTGAATCCTGCTTCTCCTCATTTGGTTCTGGTTCTGGATGCAGAGCAGTACCAGAACTAGAAGACGTGAGAGGTTCTGGAAGGTTGATACAACAGAAGATCTTTAATGTATTGTGGTGCTGAGCCATTCAGTGATTTATAAACCAACAACAGTATTTTAAAGAATATTCTCTGAGCTACAGGGAGCCAGTGTAGTGACTTTAAAATTGGTGTTACGTGTTCCATCTTTTTGGTTTTAGTGAGAACGCGAGCAGCAGAGTTATGCATCAGCTTGATTGATTTGTTGGACAGACCTGTGAAAACACTGCTGCAGTAATCAATGTGACTAAAGATAAATGCATGGATGAGTTTCTCTAGATCTCACTGAGACATCAGTCCTCTAATCCTGGAGATGTTCTTCAGGTGATAGAAGGCTGACTTTGTAACTGTTTGTACACAACACCTATAATACTTATCTAAGCAACATAAGACGAGGTAATAAAAGATTTATTTTAAAAAAATCTCTATATCAATGGGGCCCAACAATGTATTTTTTATCCAAAACTTTTTTTATATATACAAATTTAGAAAATGAACAGCAAACTTTAGATCAAATACTTCTAACTCCCACCTGTCAAGTTCACACATGATCTTCTTGTCGCCCAAATCCACCAGAGGGGGCGCTGTGGCCAATCAGCCATTTTGTCTTGACCGAGAAAGAGTGATAATACTTTTGCAGTTAACAAATGGTGGGAACTTGAATTGAAAAGAAAAAAAAATGACTAACTTAAAAATTAAAGATTTTCTTATGTATAATTCAAGCGTGCTTTATTCAAATCTGAAGAATCTGGGTTACAATAGTATGAGAAAGAGGACACAGAGGTCCATTGGAATTAAGGAAGCTATTCTGGTTCATTCCAGCTGGTTTTCATCAGAGGGGGCTCCACAGAGTCCTCAGGGAGCAGACAGCTCAGAACCAGTCTGTGCCTCAGACGCTTCTGGGCGCCTGCAGCTGATCGACCTCCACTGCTGAATCCTCTGGAACAACATCTCAGATTCTGAAGCCATAGTCAGCAGGACGGTGAGCGAGTTATCCTGGAGAGGAGAGGCAGGAGAGACTAACTTCAGAATGATCATGTCCCTGCAGCCTGTGGGCAGAACATGCTTTATGCTAAATGTGCTCCAAATGTTCCCATGTCTCTGTTACTGAGCCCAGCCCAATGGTTACTGCTCATCTGACTGGGATAACTGCTACTGGAACAATAGATAAGAATGGATGGACAAATGGACTGAAAAGTATAAAACACTATTTACTTTCCTACACTCTTTTCATTTATCCAGACTGATCATCATTAAAGGGGCAGTATTATGTTTTCTGGGCACATAGTGCCATTTTATGACATAATTAAGTAACTGTTGCCTTCACTTGTTAAAGAAATGCTCCATATAACAAATATGACTTAAAAGAAATTTTACTTCCTAATTTAATCCCTTGAAATTGGGTTTCTGTCTCTTTAAAAGTCCTGTTCTGAGTCTTCCCCTTCAGGAAGTCATCACTCTACGTTTTTACCAGCATTGCTCTGAGAAGTGACTCCTATGATGAGATCTGCAGATGCACAGTTCCACCAGGTGTTTGCTAATTGCTGTTGACTAGTCTGAAGGAGCTGGATGGGGACGTTGCGGGGGAGAGCTGTAGGTGAGGCGGAGCTGCGTTTCAAAGGCGGAGCTAAGTCCAACCAGGCGTTTTGCATGGCTGAATGGCTCTCAAACATGCATGAAAAAAATTTAAAGCAACACTCCTGGTATGCTATTGATGAAAGAACAACGTTATAACATGTTGCAAAGCTCTAAAAATAGTCTATTTTAAATGTTACTGCCCCTTTAAGAAGTTCAGTACTGACATCCTGCAAACGGATACTGGGGTATGGTTTGTGGTTCCACGTCTGTGACGGAACAGACCAGCAGGGTGAGAGAGTCGGTGCTGGTGGTTCGGTTGTGGGTAGATCTCAGCTTCTCCTCCAGACACTCTATGAAGTCCATCATCAGCCTGATGGAGTCCACCACAGAGCTGGAGCAGAGAGTTAGACATGAGCTGGAAATAAGACACTTTTCTCCAGGTCAGCACATACACGAGATGACCGACTCTTGTTATAAACAGTCAGATCTTACGCGTGCAGGTGAGCCAGGACGGGCAGGTTGGTGCGAGCCAGTGGCTGCATCAGCCTCTGTCTTAGAACCTTGTGCTCCCTCAGGACGCCCAGGAGGTGGTTGCCAAGCAACTGCAGCTTCTCATTCTTCTGACCTGATAGAGAGAGGAGGAGTTGGGAGGAGGACTTGGGGAGGGGGTGGGGGGTTCATCAGCAGAAATCTGACATGTGACTGCTCTAGTCTTCGTCATGTCACAAACTGAGCTGGATTTCTCATGAAGCACTGTTAAAAACTAGAGATGACTGTATTGCTCACAATATTGAAAAAAAAAATAGATTGCGTAACGGTGACAATGTGTCTGATCCATAACGACATGTCTAGTCAGTCTAATTCTGATTTCAGGTTAAAATAAAAAGTTTGTGACAGAGATAGATGAGAGTGAGACTCACTGAGGTGGAATCCATGGGCGACGTCAGCACTTTGTTCATCCACCTTCAACAGCTCCAACTGCAGCTGCACCTGGATCAATGGGACCGGACAGAACACATGTACAGAACGTCAGCCAGTTGTTATAGCCTGAAGAACCAAAAGGACCTAGCGGTTGCTAAGGAAGCTGTTTTTTTTTTTTTTTTTCGCTTAACAACAGGTCATTTTTCTCTGTAAACCAGGATTTTTCCTTCCTGAATGTCGGACCGGCTCATCAACAAGCAATTTGAATAGTTCTGGAAAGAACACATTAACAGACAAAATACTTTTTGTATCTTAAATGCAAAATGTACAGATTTTTTTGTACAGCTTTGACTTAATACTGCTCTGAACTTATTCTGCTTTTCTTTTTTTTAGTCCAGTTAATGATTTATCAATTACTAAATTAGTTGACAGTAAGTCAAATAATCGATTCATTACAATTAATTGTTTCAGCCCTAATAACAAAACTTGTTGTTATGTAGAACTTAGATCCTGTGCATAAAATGGTCACTTTGTGCTGATTAGAACAACTAGATTGTAATTGAAATTAGTGAAGCCAGGACTTTAGGATGTAGTGTAACAAGCAGTGAGTGGGATCACAGCCAGGCATACCTCATCCAGCCGCTTCTGCTTTCTGATGAGCTCTTCTGCCTCACACAGGCGGGCCGAGAAAACGGGACTCGGCTCAGAAAAAGCCGAGTCGATTTCATCCTAAGGGAAGATAGAGACAAGATATCATTCCAGAGCGCTGACCTATCGGATACAACTCGCACATCCAGATTCATGAGAAAAATGTAAAAAGTGACTTTCACACACAGTGGATCAGTAAACTGTGCTCGTATGTTGCAAATTAAGTCATCTGATATCTATGTTTGTTTTTTATTTAATGAGGGGATAAGGAGGAAATAAGATCAGGAGAAATAATTCATATAACAGCAGGGGGACATGATGTCCTCACCTGGGACGTGGCTCCCACAGAGACACATCTGGACAGCAAACACGCGGCCGGAGTCACAGAGAACGGAGACTGATGCATCTGGAAGTGAAACATGGACATTCAACTACATTATTAATACAGCTGATCTTAAGAGCAGCTAATGGAAGCTAATGCATCAGTCTGAATGCTGCTGGATTTTCTGTCCAGCCAACTTCTAACAGGGATCATTCTGGCCTCCAGAGGGAGGGGTTTGGTAGTCAAGTAAGATAAAATAATACCCTTTATGTTGATATAATCAGAATTTTATTTTTTTTTATTAAACACATACGCGTTTACAACGCAGGAGAAAAATGTAACAGGAACTCCGAGGGAACGATTTTCAAGCAGATAAAAAGGGCCACACCCATTTCCAGCTAAGAGAACATTTTAATTTTGCACTTTGCATGTACAACTCCTGTAAGGTCTATTTTTTCACTTTAGTTTGTACTTATAGCTGTGTTTCTTGGTCTTCATGAAGCTTTTTTGGTCTCTACTGTTCTCTAATAAACATACGAGGCCAGAAACAAAACAACTGGATTTATACAGATTACATGACGCACAGCTGGGCTCTTTTTACTAATCAGGTAACTTCTGAAATTGCACTTGATTTCATTTAGAGGTTTCACAAACACAACTATGTATTATGGTGGTGAGTTTATGATATAAAATCATAACAACGTAAATTGAAGAAAAAATAATCAGTGTAATGAGAAAAAAATACGACATTTCTAACTGTGAAAGTCCGAGGATGTGAATGAAATTTTCTGAAGGATAACATGGATGTTATCTGATCCTGATCTGAACAGGCTTGGTCGGTTTCTAAAGAGCACAGGCTGAACGGCCAAAGTGCAAAGCATTAAAAATCAAACGAGATTAATATCTCTGTCATTGTCTGCTGCCTTTCTGAGGTTTTTATCTTCCAAATATACATCACAGCTGTTGGTTCAACAGGTCTCAGAGAAGACAGACCGTCTCTGACCTGTGGAGACACCGGGGTGGATGAACCGGAGGTCAGCTGAAGGTTAAGCTCTCACCTTCCCGTCGTTACTCAGGCTACCGACCACATAATCGACCCGTTCTGTTTGACCCAGCGCCGGGGAAAGTCTGTGGCTTTTCGACTCAAATCTGAGCGCTTTTCCGCCAAGTTTCTTCTTCTTCTCCGGTAAACATCTTAGAAAAACAACACCGCCCCCTATTGGTCTAATTGTTGGACTCAAACAAAAGTTATTTTTTCGATGTTTTTTAAATTATTATTTTTTTATTATTATAATTTCACATTGGCACACAGCCCTGTGGAGTGCCACTGTTTAGCGTTATGCTGCAGGGGTCAATTTTAACCGTTTATATACATTTTATGGGAATGTCTTATTCAGGAGCTGATGAATACAGGTTATTTTCCACCAATATATTTAGGATGATGGTGTTGAAAACAGAATTTCAATAAATAAAAGATATAAAAATATAAAGGGCTGTGTGGTGAGTCCCAAAGGCTGTACTTTGTACAAATTTCTAAAAAAAAAAAAAAAAAAAAAAAAAAAAGCTAATAAAGTATTTCAGAGGAAAAGGAAAGGAGCAAACATGATGTAGTGATGGACTTTATTTTAACCTCTTTTTTTCCTCAAAAACCTCCATATCCTGGTCCATGCAGTCCTGATGGAGACACAGTTCGAGCACTACCACTCCAGCCCAGTAGATGGCAAAAATACAGCAAAAAGTATACGTAACTCCGCAAACGGAAGATGAAGAAGTCGGTGTAACACAGGAAAGGGAAGAGGAGGAGATTCATTCTGAAGCGGCGACGCCCTCAGCTGATCCTCCTCACTGAACTTGTTTTCATCGATTTGATCAGAGTTCAGTTTACTGATCCGAACCAGAACCGTCCTCCGAGTCCACGGTGAGGTGAGTTAACAACACCGAACTCCCGGAAGTTAGCTGCAGGGTCACATCACAGGGTAATCTGTGAGCAGAGAGGCTTTAACACAGAACACCAAGCTGAGAGGGTTCATGGAGCTCAGGCGGCTGTGTGGTACAGTGGAGGGACCTGAGCTGCCAGCAGGAAACTGATGTGTGTGTTCAGGTGGCATTCTAACGTGTTCTGGTAACTATGACAGTACAACAAAAGAAAACAGCAATGTGTAGTATGATTTAACTGGTGCTAGTTAATATCCTAAAGCAACAATAAAATCCAGCAGAACATTGATTAGTAAAGTTATGATAATAAAACGGTGACATTTCTTGTTTACTATTAATAGTGAATGGATAACCATAATAAAGAGGACCAATAGTTAATGTGTCAGTATGTAGTGAAGTTATAAGTTTCATAAAATCTTAAATGATTAACTGGACTTAACTACTTTAACATCTATTTATTCATAAAAATATTTTTCCTCAGTCTCATTAGGTTAAATGTATTTGCTCTCAATTTTATGAAAATTTGAGAGGGGAGATTCTTTTTGATAGGAAGCCTAAAAATGACACTTTATTCAAAGCAATAGATAGAAAATATTCATTGGAATCCTAATATTTATACTTTATTTGTAAATTCAATAACTATTCTTTTCTGTCATGAAAAGAGTCAATGTAACCATGATTATCTGAGCGGAATTGAGAATGAATGTTCTTGAAGAAGACTAGGGCTACTAAAACATGTGGTTTTATTCTTATAATTTTGATTTCTACAGCCACATTAAAAAAATCACCTAAATCATCATGTTCCTCCAGGTAGTTTCTTTTCCTGCACAACTTGCATCTCTGTCTGTGAAGCTGGTTGCTCCTCGGTGCTTTTCTGCTTTGACGTCAGAATTGTTTTGATTTTTATCAAGTGGTCCTAATCATCCTCTGTAGAGGATTATCTTTATCCAATTTAACATTTAACTTGAGCAACTCATCGTTCTGTAAAGTTATGCTTTCTCACACATATTTTTGGTTTTCTAAATATCAGTTTGAACTTTAAGGAAGAATTTGATAGAGATCGTACTGTTTGGCTCAGCCTGCTGGATGTTTGTATGCACTGCTCCTCTTTCTGAAATTCAGATCCAAATTATTGGCAAATTTAAAAACTGTCTTGATGGAAGATTAAAGTTTGCAGTCATGAATCAACATCAGATTTTAAGTTGATCTAAGGTTGGTTGTCACAATAAGCAATAAATCAATTAATTGCAAGATAAATGAAGAGAAACAAATAAATTTTCATTTGCTTGATTTACTGTTTACTTGTAAATCAAGCAAATGAAAATTATTTTGTTTCTTTTGGTGTCAAAACACCAGGTTTTTTGAAAGATAATTTTGTTTGCAGAGATTTCATTATTCATTTTATTTGTTGTTTATCTGTTCCAGTGTTTAATGTTCATTTGAATTTAAAGTTTATTGATCATTGAGAATGTGTTCTTGAATTTTTATGCCATTATTTATTATTATATAACTTGAAAATGGTCTCAAAACAACAATATTATTGTTTATTGCAATAGGTTCTGGGACTGTTTATCATCCGGTAAAATGTGTTATCGTGACAGGCCTTGGTTCTGTCAGCTGGTTGGTCTGGCTCTCTCTGTCGTCTCTTTGCTCTGACTCTGCACTCACCTGTCCACAGAAATTGGAGATACATTCTCTAATTAATTAGATAGGAAAAATAGATTTAACTATTTGAATCCCATTTTCTTCACCTTCCAGTCGTCGTGTTTCATGAGTTAATTGCATGAAAAATTAAAACAAGCTCAATTATTTCTATTTGCATGTTTTCTCCTTTTTTCTCTTTTCTCTTTACTTTCAACCAGCTCGCTTTTTTTAGGACAGTTTTGTTTACAGAGACTTCAGTTTCCATTTTATTTGTTGTTGTGTTTATTTATGTAGGATATTTAAAATGTCTTCCAGTTCCAGTGTTAAATGTTCATTCATATTTAAAGTTTATTGATCTTTGAGAATGTGTTCTCGCATTATTCTGCCATTACCATTATATTTCTTGAAAATTGTCTCAAAACAGCAATATTATCGTTTATCGCAATAACCGATTGAACAATTTATCTCGTGTTATCGTGACAGGGCTACCTTTCAGATTTCAGAACAAAGCTGAGTCTGTCCCAAAGCAGTGAGCTCATGATCTACTCCCTCACTGAAGTATTCAAAGACAACGATTCATTCGTGTTCACAAGCTCAGAGTTTTAACCCAGCAGAAATGGGTCATAATAACATGTTTTTAACTGTGCAAACATCCAAATAAAATGGTTGCATTGTCATAAACACTGCAGTCTGTGGAGTTTATAGCTGTTTATTTCACTTGTAGGCCGTTTGCACAGAGTTGATCAGTGACATGTTTACGTCTGTGCATCTATGAGCATCTTCAGTCAGTTTTATTCTGTCGTCTGTGTTATTTTACACCTGGAAACGATCAAACATGGACCTGATTTTCTGTGTTGCTGCACAGACGCACATCAGGAAAGAAGGAAAACATCCCAATAATGTGTTTCATTCCCACAGTCATGATTAGATGTCAGCAGCTGTTTGTCAGGAGGGTGTCAGTGTGTGGACTGCGTGTCCTGCAGGGATTTCATCCTCTGATCTCATTAACAGCTTCTAACCAGGAGGAGGGGGAGGAGCTCCATGGAAACGGCCCCACCTCTGGACGTGAGCTGGATGTGAGCTGGACGTCCAGATCCAGAGGGGAACATGGGCAACAGCGCGCTGAAGTCTCACCTGGAGACCTCCCAGAAAACGGGAGTGTTTCAGCTGACGGCCAAAGGCCTGCAGGAGGTAGGAGGAGCAGCTGGGAGGAAGGGGAAAAGAGTCACTTCCAACAGAATCAGGGAAAAATAAAAGCAATGGGTATCGATGAATTAGTCATACGATTTACAGATCGTTGATAGGCGTTCTAGCGTCATACTACAGCTGTAAAACAGTCCTGGGTGTATATTTTAAAGGGATTCCGACGTTAATGTGGCTGGATGGCGCTGTTCTGAACTTGTCCTGGTTTCAGTTTCCAGAGGAGCTCCAGAGGCTCACCTCCAACCTGAGAACAGTGGATCTGTCCGGAAATAAGATTGAGATTCTCCCAGCCTCAGTCGGAAACTTCCTGCAGCTGAAAAGCCTGACGTTGAACTCCAATAAGCTGAGTGAGTGAGCGGTAGATGGTGTCTGCTCCGGGACATTCCAGCCACGCTTCCTCTCACATTTCTGTTTTCCCTCTTTAAGCTGGCCTTCCTGCAGAGATTGGCAAGCTGAAGAAGCTTGAGACCCTGAGCTTGAATGGGAATCAGATCCAGCTGCTGCCCCCCACCGTGGGCCAGCTCAAGGCCCTGAGGACCCTGAACCTGTCCGGGAACCAGTTCACCGAGTTCCCAGCAGGACTGGGAACGCTGAGGCAGCTGGACCTGCTGGATTTGTCCAGAAACAGGATTCAGAGCGTCCCAGCAGCGGTCTCAGAGCTGCAGGCTATCGAGATCAACCTCAACCAAAACCAGGTTTCATTATCAATAATAGAGCAGCATATTATATTCATATTACATTATATTCATATTCATGCAGCTTTAAAGCTGTATGAATATGAGGAAAAGTAATGTTTCTAGTGATTTAAATTTCTTATTTGTTTAGAGGTTTAGCTCTAGCATCTGCTACTTTTTTGTTAGGTCCTACTAATTCTTCTATGGGTTTAGCGTTAACCTCTGCTAATTTTCTTTTACCTGTTTAGCGGTTCAGTGTTTGGTTCCTGCTCATTTTCTTATGTGTTAGAGGTTTACTGTTTGCTTCTGCTACTTTTTACTTTTTAGCTAAGATTCTTGTTTGGCAAATTAGTGATTAGTGAACATAACTTTTTGGTTAGCTGTGCCCACCACTGGTGATTTTAGTGCAAACATATTCTACATTACATCTATGGTGGCCATTTTGAAAAATGTCCACTAGAAAAAAGGAGAAAGGAGATTGAGAAAATGTGTATGCTCTTATGGTTCAAAATATGTAGGCTGTGATTTGACACCAAAAGTATTAATCTGTGATAAATATTAGCAAAATTAGCAGAATAGAAGAAAATTTCCTTAATCATGCTTATATATATATATATATATATATATATATATATTCCAAAAAGCAAACTCCTGGGAACATCTGTACCAAGTTAGGCTCTTATATCGATTTTGTTGAAAATATTCAGTTATTTTCTGCACCATAAAGCCCTGTGAGAAATATGGGATACATAACAGCTGCTTCCTGTAGAACCTATGAGACGATCCTTTAAGGGTTTTGGAGTGTAAGCAGGTCTTCTCCTCCCTGTCAGATCTCAGTGTTGTCAGCAGAAGTGTCTCGCTGTCCCCGTCTCAAAGTTCTGCGTCTGGAGGAGAACTGTCTGGAACTGTCCTCCATTCCTGAGTCCATCCTGACTGAGTCCCAGGTGTCCCTGTTCTCCGTGGAGGGAAACCTGTTCGAGGTGAAGAAGCTCCGAGAGCTGGAGGGATATGAAAAGGTCAGCTCAGTATTATTATTATTATTATTATTATTATTAACAATCCCTGTGTTTTTTTTCACTCTTTCTAAGCAAGTTAAGAATTGAGCTGTCTCAACAAAAATCCATTTATGGTTAAATAAACTCTAAGGAATATGTGTAAGTGCTATAAAAGTTATAAAGCTGTCTTTCTCTGTCTCAATTAACAAATCACCAGTTTATGAAGCAGAAATATGTGTGTGTGTGTATATATATATATATATATATATATATATATATATATATATAAAAGCAACTACTCTACCTGCATTTCTCCGCTTCAGTTAAATACCCATAATCCTGTGCTGCGTCTAACACATGATCACATAAACAAACGGCAATGAGGTTGAAATAAATATCCATTGTTACAGCCTAGTTTCACTTATCAGACCCAATGTTAAAGAACATTGTCCTGAACCGATATGATGCTGAAATGTTTTGCTTCCCCACTTTCTGTTATAACCAGAGTGAGAGAGAGTTTATTCAGCTATAATGTAGCTGATCAGGATTTTGATTCTTCTTCTTAAAAAGTCTCTATGTGTGTTGATTAGATCCTGACTTTAACAAGGAGATTTCTAAAAGATGTTCATGACAAATGGAACCAGACTCCTTAAGCTGATAGAACACAGTGTCTTTGCTTCTGTTATGAGTTTAAGTTTAACAGCCTGTTTAAAAGCAGCAGCCTGAGGGTCAGGGGTCAACCTCTGTACCTCCAGACCAGCCAAACACCATTCAGAGCCGGTCCCAGGTTACCACGTCTCTCTTCCTCTCTCATCAGTACATGGAGCGTTTCACTGCCACCAAGAAGAAGTTCGTCTGAATCCCCGCTACCATGACGACTCCAGACTTGGTGTCGGTCTGAAACCCACTATCCCCCTCTCCCCCCTCCTGCACCAGCCGGAGCTTCTTATTGGTCTGCAGCGAGGTGCTTCCTGCAGCACTCCACACAGACACCGGACCTGCTGAAACACAGAGACGGACGATGACGGCGAGGCAGGCTCAACACGACCCCCATGAGATCCAGAGCGGCTTTTCAACCAGGATTTGCTTCCAGGCTTTAGTGTTCACAGAGCGACATGCACCTCCAGAACAGGGACGTTTAAGTGATGTCACGCACTTTCACAAGTCCAGAGAAGGAAGTTGTAATGAGAAAGATGATCTTGATACAGAAGAGGAGGAAAAAGAAAAAACAGCAGTTTTTTTTAATCAGTTTTTCTCTGCATGTTGTGACTATGGCCCTGCAGCAGAGCTCAGGAGGCTTCGCTTCACGACTGTTTTTGTCTTGCATGAGATCTGGTAGCTTTATAGTGCAGCTGCTCAGTGGGGCATCACGTCGTACTTACCCGTTAGCAAAAACATTAAACCGCTTCTCCCCCCCTCTCATGCCTTTCAGTTTTATTTAATCACCGCCATCTTTAGCACATCCCACCATGTGACCCCGAGAAGCTCCACCCAGCAGTGTGTTCTTCTTTTAGGCAGCTTTTGTGTTGCTTCTTATTATCCAGCAGACGTAAACATGTAATATGAGCAAACAGTCGAGCTGGGTTTGAGTCTCTGAACCAGACTTCTTCTGTGAAAGTCAGTGTCGGCTTAGTTCCCCCAACCATCCATAAATTAATAATTCCATAGATTTCTTCACACGTCTCATGTATTTACATTTGATAATCCAGTCATACAAAGACACTTCGTCATGTTTTACAATGATTTAAATCTGACTTTAGTTTTGGAGAATCCCACATCACAGGTTCCCCGATGCTGTTGCTTATTGAACAGAGATGATGAAATAATGTGAAAAGCAATGAGGGAAAAACTATGTGGAGCACAAAAGGCCCAGATTTGTCCAGATCAGCGCAAAGTTTTCATACCCCCTGACATCTCCACTTCACTGCCTCAACCTTCAGTGCTTTTCAGAAGAAGTGTGATTGACCAATCAGCTCACAGCATGGGGAGAATGCTGCAGGTCTCCCAGCAGACGGAGCCATTCACATCTCTGTTTCAGTCAGTCGAACGGAGAGCATCTGAAAACGTCAATTTTCAGGCACTCCACAAATTCTGTTTGATTTTGAGCTTCGACTAGGCCATTCTAGCACATGCATGCAGTTTGATCTAAAGCGGCTCTGACTGCATGTGAAGGTGAACCTCCTCCCCACTCTGCAGTCTCTGAACAAGTCTTCCTCCATCCGACCTTCTTCCACATGTCTGTTGGACGCAGACTGGACTTCCTGTTTCTGTCTCTCAACAAACAAAATAAAACAATGTTTTCCTTGTTGCTGTTCACATTCATAGCTTGGAATGTCGTTCTAGATCCTAACCCTGCTTTTTAACTTCTCCAGAACTTCCTCCCTGAGCTGCTGCTGGGTTGCTGCGTCTCCACGATGCTGCTCGTTCTCTAATGCTCTCACACAAACCCAGCATCTGCATCCAGACTCAGATTTTATTGCACAAATCTGGACTCTTGTGTACAATTAGGCGACTTCTGAAGGAAACTGGTTGTGCTGGAATTTATTTAAGGACTGAACAGTTCTGCATGTCTTTTTAGAGTTGCGGTTGTGAAGGACTTTGTGAAACTTGCCACCATTTTCTTCCGACTCCACAGGTTTGCACTGCTTTCTGTTGGTTCATTCACAATAAAACGTATTAATGGAACGGAACTAAAAGTGGAAAGGTTGTACGTAAAACGGCCTGAGGATACTTTTTCAAAGTGTGTTCTTACTTTTTACCATGACTATAAGTAACTAAGACACTAAGCAGCTGTTTTCACTTACCGTTATCGTTTTAAAATAATCAACTGAAGTGATATTCTGTTAAAGCCAGTCTGAGTCGGTGTTTTGCTCTGTGATTGTTTAAACTCTGTACTCTGCTGCTGAAACAAGCAGGTGGAGTGAAGGAGTGGCTCTTCAGCATGTCCATGGAAATGCGTTTGTAATCTTTTTTTTTCTTGTATTTAATTAAAGCAGATGCTTAACAAGTCAGTCAGTGTATGCTTTATTTTTTTCTCTTAAAACCTCACTGACATTTGAAAACCTTTTGAGTCCAGTTTTAACAACCTCTGTCGCTCTGTCAGGAGAAAAGAACTGCCAGCTGAACATGTTCGACAGGTTTGTGTATTCACATCATAATTAGCTCCATGTGAAACGCCACAGGCCTACAGCAGCAGGTTGACGTTAAAGCTCATAAAAAGATAATTAGCAAAATACAAAACCTTCCACCTTCTTTAGCAAGGTGGAAAAAGGAAACATGTTTTTTATTGGAAAAAAAAAGAAAAAAAGCGACAGTTCTTGGGGACATCTCGTGTTTGGCCAAACACAAACACTACACTTTAACTGTCAAGCATAGTGGTGAAGGAGTGATGATATGGGCTTGTTTTGGAAACCACGGGTCCAAACTGGGTCACCTAAAATTGCTGATCTACAACAGCATGGCTGTAATGGTCCAGTTAAAGTAAACTACAACAAACCCAGATTCTTTCCCAACCAGCTTAATCTGATTCTACTCACCAGAAAAACAAGAGATTAAGAATTGAGCTGATGGGAAAGTGAATCAAAGAAAACGCTGGGAAAAGATCAATAACATGAAGTTATGTTAATTCAAACTCTAAATTGTTAAGTCCATAAATCCAAAGATGAGTGATTACTATTCTTACACATTACACATTTGAGTTCTAATTCACTGGCCACTATTAATATCTTTTTGATTTTTTTTTTCAACTTAATGAAACATTTTTTTAAATTGCTACCTAAAACATTTGAAATATTTCTGACATAAACTTTCACTGATAAAAAAGAAAAAATTATCAGAATGCAACTAAATGCTCGATAACCTTCACAGATAGACCTTCTGTCCATCTATCTGTGTTCTCCAGCACTAAATCTTCTGGTTAAACTGTATTTCTTTGTTAGCCGACGCTCAATCAACCTGGACATTGTGTGGCTGTAAACAGGATGCTCTCAACAGGAAGCTGCAGCAGAGACACAGGATAGCAGTGGACATCTTCTGGCCAGGTGAATATCTCTCAGCTGCAGGGATATTTAAAACTGATTAGAGGCATCCATTCATCCATCTATACATGAATACATCTTTGCAGAGCATTTTTCATACAGGCTGATGTAAAATTAAGTGGTCTACAGAGGTCAAAAACAAAAAGACTTTTACTAGAGATACATAATGTGATTATACAAAAAATACAAAGATTAAATAAACATTTGTGAAAGAAAGAAATCAGATGAGGAACTGTGGAAGTAGAGTCATGTGTAGGGAGGAAACACTGGAAATATGAATATGAATGTTTAAGGAAATAAATAAAATGACAAATGACGAAGAGTCACAATTTGTCACAAAAAGATAGTGTCAAAAAAGATAGTAAAAAGAATAAGCATTACCACAAAGAAAACGTGTTCAGATAGTTACATGATTGTATTTCCAAACTGAAAAATCTCAATAAAAATATTTTTGGGGAAAAAAAAGAATAAGCATCAACAAAATCCAGGATATATATGTGTGTGTGTATATACATATATATATATATATATATATATATATATATATATATATATATATATATATATATATATATATATACACACACACACACACACACACACACACACATTATTCAAAAAGTCAATTTGAGTTTTATGACATATTTTAAATGTCATGTTTTCATTAGAGGAAAGTCATCATAGTTTACAAATAATTAATCCATATAATGTGCTCCACTTAATGATAAAGTTCCTACATTTTGAACAATATCCTAGCTTATTGAATCGAGTGCAGTAAGTTTTCAGGACTTGTTCAGGAGGAGGAGCTCTACCACCAGCTTGTTTTCCTCCGGCTCTGCTCTGTGTTCCGCGGCTCCTCAAGTGTTTTCCTCCCCTCCCCCGGTCATTCCGTCGGTGTTCCTCCGTTCACACGCTGGAAAGTCAGGCTTTATCAACGATGAGGAAGAGCGGAGCGGAGTGACACGTCGGTAAAAGTGGCAGATGAAGGAGCCCATTGAGCCCATTGAGAAGATGAGAGGATGAAGCCGCTGCTGTGGGTCGTTGTTGTTGCTCTGCGGAGTCTTACTGGGAGCTGTGGGAGCGGTGAGTGTTAATGAGCCAGTTAGCTGGGAGAGCTAATGGTTTCCCCACTTTCTCAGCCTCGGTGTCCCCCTCTGGGAACAGTCAGGTGAACATGCTGAGGACGAACTTTCAGTCTCACCTGTTGGACCGGGGAGGGACAATAAGTTCTGACATGTGAACTTTCCTCTCTAAATGAAGCAGAAACACCAGGAGTGAGGCTGTAAAACTGCTGGTCCACAATAAACTTTACCTCTGGTCCAACAGGAACATCTACCGAGGTGTGGAAAAGGATTAGGACCACTGAGAAAAGGGGAAAAAAAAAAGATTCTGATGTTAAAATTGGAATTCTGAGGGGTTTTTTTATTCTGAGAAAATGTCAAACTTCTGAGATTAAGTTCTGAAATCAGAGATTATAGTCAGAATTTAGTTTTTCAAGGGTCTAATCTTGTGTGCACCAACGCACAGGTGACTATGAAAGATCTGAACTTTGTACAGATTCATCTCACTGAATCATTTCATGAGCAGTTTAAATATTATCAAACTGCTCATTTATTTCAGTAATTACATTTTTTAAAAATTAATATATTATACACATTCATTACATAGAGAAGGATGCATGAGTGTTTTATTATAGTTCACTGTGATTATTACAGCTTATGAAAACACAAAATTCAGTTTCTCCAAAAATTAAAATAGTCATCAAAATGACTTTTTGAGTAGCGTTACTGAGATAAATTAAGTTTTAAAGAATGTAAGTTATTGTTCAACAAAATTACTTCAACACTCGCATCTGTCAGATTGGACATTAGATCTAATATTAATAAAACTGGTACTACTTTACGGAGACCATTGTTCTTCCAGGTATTCTCTGTGAACTGTGTGTTATGATTTGAGCCCAAAGTGGAATTTCTCCATTACACACAGCCTAAATTTGTACATTCATGGAAATCTTTGAATAAGTGGGACAAACACGTTTCTATTTTCATTAACTTTGGCAGAGATTGAGTAAATGCAGCTGTTGTTCTTTGTCATTGGGTCAACCAAGACTTAGAAGATCAGGAGCGTGTAGGAAACTCTCTAAAAGTGAGAGAAATATATTGGTAGAAGAAAGTATTTTGAAGATCATCAGTCCCAGCAACTGTACATAAGGACCAGTTCTACAGATGTATTCTCATTTTCCAAAGATCTGGAAGAAGACCTAAACTTCTCCTCCTCAGATGACAGGAAGTGGGTTAAATTGTTTTAGGAACAAACCAGGAAATAGCAAGGCTAAAGCTTGACCTGACTTAGAAGCCTCTGGACACTAGATCTTAATGTTCAGAGGCACAGACCATCCACGGTCTGTGGACGATCATCAGACTGTCCTCAGTAAACTTTACTTTCACATGGACTGATAAGATGCCAAGCAAGAAAGCTGCTCTTATGGACAAACCACAAGACTTCAGGAGACAAACGAGACAAAGACGGCGCTCTATGGACACAGTGACAAGAAGTATGTTAGGAGGCCTTTCAAACTCCAGAAGACAGAAGCAACAATCAATGATGGCGTTACATCATTGGTGCATTGTGCAAAGTGGATGAAGGATGACATATTTCAAATGAGCTGCTAGATGGTTTAACTGCGACAGAGTTGAGGGTTCCCAATGGAGGACAATGACTGTATGGAGCGGATTCAGCAGTCTGAGAAGTTTTAGTAAAGGTAGACTCTATCCCAACCTGATTTAGCTCAACTCTAGCTACTCAAGGAGACTGGTCAACGAATCTGAACAATGCCTCAGGTTTGTTGATGGTTCTGAAAAAGGTGGTGATCTGTAGTTGTGCTTCTATTACAAACGGGAGCAAATCTTCATCTAAATTCTACAATGACATGTTAGGGCTATAGTAGATAAGAGTAAAAAAGGAGGAGTAAATTTCAGCATAAAAACTTGGAAAAATTAAGATTAATCTCTGAAATTTTTGGGACAGCCAGTCCTCCACAGAGTGGGGCTTATCAGGGACCAGCTGTAGAACTGAGGAGTGGAAAGGATGGAATGCCCTGCATGGAGTCCTGACCTCAGTCTCAGGACTCCATGAGATCTCTTGTGGGGTCAGCTTGAGCCCATATCCATGGGGATTAGGAAGTTAAATGGCCTGCAATGAACTCAAACCTTCAAATACTTGGGACATTTTCTAAAAACACTGATAAATGTTTAATTTAAATAGGTCAACACCACATATACCTTAATAAGTTTTAATGTGAACAGTGGAAACCATCCTGGTACTACCACAGGAGCTAACCTCTACATGCTTCTTTATCTCTGCTCTTGGGAATTCAGCCAATCAGAAACAAAGAAAATGGCTCCTTTGCAAATACCACCCAATTACACGTATGTCAAGTAGCTTTTTTTGTAATTTTTCAAATATGTGCTGCCTTTGTTTGGAAATCTGGAAATAGGCACATTTTTCACAATTTGTTACATTCCACAAACAATCGGCAAATAGGATCCACTGCATATTGGCTGATTTGCCTCAATTGCTCATTAAAGTTGCAGTATGTAACTTCTATAATTTCTATATTTTTATATATATATTTGTTGAAACTGTCACTATATTGTGACAGTGAGACAGATAATCTGTGAAAAAAAAAATCAATTTCCTCTGGCTTCTCCCATTGCTAACTAACCAACCAATCAGGGTCAGGAGGTGGGTTTGGTGCTGTTAATCACACTCCTGTGTGGTGCTGCTCATCTCTTTCCCCTCTGCTCTATGCCACCACTATAACTTTTCCCTGTTGTGAATGCTAAGGCTAGTTAGCATGACCCCCAATAAACAATTTCCCTGTAAAGATAAGTTGTTTTTCTGCTGTTAGCACATTTAGCAACGAGTACGTGAGGCTTACTGACAGCACAAAGACCTGCCTCCTGGCTCTGATT